CCCCAGGGTTAGCGAAGGATGATAATTCACCGTTAAGACTCTGAGAAAGACCAGCTGGCCCCTCTGGAGTCAGATGTCAGCCCCCACAGCCAGGGCCCACGCTGTCTGTGTGTGTGTGTGTGTGTGCGTGTGTGTACTGGCACCCCTGCATGTATTTACATGTATGTGTGTATTCATGTGTGCCGTTGTCAGTGGCAGCTTTTGATTGGTGGAGGGAAAACACCTGCAGGAGGAGCTGTAGATTTTATCAGTCCCAGCTACCAGGACCAGAGTGGTCACAGAACACACACACACACACACACACACACACACACCATCTGCTTGCTAGTTAGAGCTATTGTTGAGAGCCATTTGGAGAGTGCATGCAGGTTTTGGCTTTGTGCTGATCTTGACCGTGGGTCGGCCAGCTGGCCTGACGTTGGTTTTCCACTTGGTCGGAACAGAAAGAAAAGAAAAGACAGAAAAACAGGCCATGATACAGAGGCTGAGCAGCCAATGAAACGACAACATGAGCTGGACGTGAAGGTTGAGAATGAATCAGATCAGTTCAGACTTTGATGACATCACTGTTTCACTCGTCATCTACAGCAGTGTTTCCCAAATATTTTGGACCCATACTTTAAAAGTCACAAACCTTTGCGACACCAAGTCAATAGACATTATTCGTAAACTCCTGGGAAACATGATGCGAGACGACCCAAAAAAAATCTCTTGTGAACCACCTGAGGGTCACGACCCAGACTTTGGAAAAACAACAGGGATGTTGCTGCAGTAGAGACAGTTGGAGTTTTCACTTTCCTTCATTTTTCTGGAGTTTTTTCCCAGATGAATAATTCCATCATTTGGATTAGTCACAGATAAAAACAGGTGAGAAACACTGACACCTATCTGCAGGAATGGGTCAGTGCCTTCACTGCAAATGAATCTGTTTGTTAAATAATCCATGTGCTGCACTGTGCTAACCCACACGTGCACTGATTCAGGCACGCACATGTTTCCCTCACACACACACACACACACACACACACACACACACACTCAGGTTTGTTTCCTCCTCCTACACCGGCCACGTCACGCTGAGTCTGCTGTGCTCTCCATTCAACGGCCCTGCATTGTAACTGTGTGTGTGTGTGTGTGTCAGCACAGGTACAGCTGCAGCCTGCTGGTTCCTTTAATCAGGGACAGCCAGTCGGCATGAATGCATGTATTGTTGGCTCGTGTGTATTCAGGGCTGCGGTGTTCATGTGATTGTGTGTGTGTGTGTGTGTGTGTGTGAACGACGTCACATCAATACTGTGTTCTGTGTTTTCTGCCTCCAGGTCGAAACGAGCTGATAGCCCGATACATCAAGTTGAGGACAGGAAAGACGCGAACCAGGAAACAGGTGATTATTAACACATCACAGCTCAGACTGTCCCTGAACACATCACAGCTTAGACTGTCCCTGAACACATCACAGCTCAGACTGTCCCTGAACACATCACAGCTCAGACTGTCCCTGAACACATCACAGCTCAGACTGTCCCTGAACCCTAACCTGAGTTAACAGGGTCACAGCTGAACAGAAAGTGAGCAGAGCTTTTGCTCCACACACACATTTTAACATCACGTGAATGAAGTTCCATGTTTGAGTGAACGGAGTCAGTGTCGACTGAACAACAACATGGTGACTTGAGAAAAACGTCCAGTTAGGGTTAGTCTGATTCAGGTTTTTTCTTTTGTTTTTTATTGGTTGAAGAAAAGGAAAAAAAAGTGTGTGTTTTTCTCTGTTTGTATGTGAGTGTGTGTGTACGAGAGAGAGAGAGGGAGAGAGAGAGAGACTAAGCCTCTTCCAGTGTAGCAACAGGCTTTTCATTACCATGGCAACTCACTGTTTGGTCCTCCCCCCTCCCTTTTTTTTTACCTCCCCTGCTCCCTCTTTCTCCCTCGTCTCCGTCTAGGTTTCCAGTCATATCCAAGTTTTAGCCCGAAGGAAATCCAGGGAGTTTCAGTCCAAACTAAAGGTAAAACCAGATCCTGGTTCCATCCCAGTCACCAACTCAGACCTGGTCCAGAGACTCAGACTGAACACCATGAGCTGGACTTGGTCCAGACTGGGTCACATGACCTGGAAATAAAGTTTAGACCCAGAGGTCAGAGGTTGACCACTGGTCAGTGGTAAAAAAAAAATCTGTGATCTCAGCAAAACATTTTAAAAAAGCTCCACCTACAGACGCTGTAGAGTATTACAGTCACTGATTCTAAAGGGTCCACCAGCAAAAACCCCCCCCCCCCCTCAGAAGACCTGACCCTGAACATGTCAGTCTAAGGCAGAGGTGCCCAATACGTGGATCAGGGTCCACCAGTAGATCGCAAAGGCAGTACTGGTGGACCATGAGCAATAACATAAATCTTTTTAATTAAATCTCTAGAACTAGATTAGCAATAATACTGTCTGACATGACTGGAACAGAGACCAGTGTAAAGGTCATGGAGGTCATTCCAGTGACAGTGGTCCCTGAACTCTGACGGTGTTTTCAGGACCAGAACACGAAGGACAAAGCCCTTCAGAGCATCTCGTCCATGTCCTCAGCTCAGATCGTCTCAGCCACAGCCATTCACAGCAAACTGCTGCCAGGACTGGTCCGGAGCAGTTTCCCTGCCAATGCACAGGTACAACACACACACTCACACACACACACACACACACACGGCCTTAGTGTACGTCCTGATTGAACTGAAATGCCCATTGTGTGTGTTTTCAGCTGTGGCAGGGCGTGATACCAGGGGGTCAGTCCAGTTCCACCACAGAAGAGTAAGCCACGCCCACCTTGAACAATCAATCAATCATCTCTTTTCACCTGATATTGATTTCTCTGTTGCTCTCACACACGGACAAGACACCGTGTGATTTTACCTCCAGATAATTTTCAGAAGTTTTTAAATTTTTGAGCACAGAGACTCTCTTGACCTGTGACCTGTGACCTGTGTGGACAGACCACAGATCCGTCTGACTGTGTCTCCCCCCTCTGCTCTGCTCTCTCTCTCTCTCTGCCTCTCAGCATCAAGCCGTTCTCTCAGCAGGCCTTCCACGTGCAGACAGCAGGAACCACCACCATCTCAGGTGAGAGGGAACATGGAACCGTTACTGTCTCCTCTGTCTCTGTCTCTGTCTCTGTCTCTGTCTCTGTCTCTGTTAGCGTCCTGCAGGACGGCTCTCCGGTGGGTTTTACAGAGTGTCAGAAAAGACAAGAAGAATTACAATAGGTGTGTGTGACCTCTGCTAAGAAGAAGAAGAAGAAGAAGAAGAAGAAGAAGAAGAAGAACCAGCCAGAATCCAGAGAAACTCATCCAACAGAACCCGACCATAGGAAGAATGTGAACTAGACTAAACTGTCCTGACGGAAACCGTTCAAGGGTTTTATTTAGTGGAAATACAGCTGCTAAAAAGAGCACAGAGCCTCACCGTTGGAGCAGCTGTACACCTCCAACTAGTTCATCTAAACACACCTGAAGATTTACTACTTCAATCTTCTAGTTCATCTAAACACACCTGAAGATTAACTACTTAAATCTTAAAAGTGTGTGTGTGTGTGTGTCTCTGTGTGTGTCTTAGCAGTTTTCGAACCTCCCACCGCGGCCCAAACACACAGAGAGCCCGCGTGGCAGGGTCGCTCCGTCTGCACCACCAAACTACGACTGGTGGAGTTCTCATCGTTTCTGGAGACACAGAAGGAGCAGGAGGCAGTAAGTGTCTCACACACACACACAGAGACTCCTCAGTTCGTCTTCTTCACCTGACCTGTCTCTCTCCGTCCTCAGTACAACAAGCATCTGTTTGTGGACGTCAGTCAGAGCAGCCCCGGCTACAGCGACCCCCTGCTGGAGTGTGTGGACATCAGGCAGATCTACGACAAGTTCCCTGAGAAGAAGGGCGGCCTCAAGGAGCTCTTCAGCAAAGGGCCGCAAAACGCTTTCTACCTGATCAAGTTCTGGGTGAGATCAAACTCCATGACGTCGACCGTGTTTCTTCTGATCACCACTAGAGGGCCTTGTTTCGTTTTTCCTGTGTTTTCACACTCGGAGCCAGATGTCTTTGTCTGCAAGCGTAGGGTTGCGAGTGTGAGTGTGTGTGTGTGTCCTCTCTGTCCACCTGGGATACGGAGGTGGGGAGTTGATAAACGCACGGTGGCTTTGTTTGAACACCTGCTCCCTGCCCTGCTGGCTGGTTGCTCCAGCTCCACCTTCCGGTGTGTGTGTGTGTGTGTGTGTGTGTGTGTGTGAACCACAGAAATCTGGACTCGGGTGAATTTGCTGTTAGGGATCGGGGCAGTGTGAATGTGGGTGTGAATGGTTATTTGTGTCTATGTGTTGCCCTCTGATTGAAAGGGTGCCATCACCTGGTGACTACTGGGATTGGCTTCACTTCTGCTTAATATTAAATATGTAAAATATTGATTAAACATTTACGCAGGTTTGAAATAGAACTGTTATACACAAGAATCAATAAATTATTAAATAAACCCAAAGCCTGTTCTGATTGGACCTCAAGCCCCGAACCTTACCCTCAGCCTCACCCTGACACAACCTAACGCAGTGATTCCCAACCTCTGTAGAGATCATTAGGTGTGACGCGGAAAATGATCCAGTTTCACCTAATTATACCTAACGCAGTGATTCCCAACCTCTGTTTCACCTAATTGGTCCAAAAACTATGATTGACCTCTGACCTCTGCTTCCCTCAGGCCGACCTTAACTACAGCGGACAGGACGATCCTACGGCGTTCTACGGAGTCAGCAGTCAGTACGAGAGCTCGGAGAACATGACCATCACCTGCTCCACTAAGGTCTGCTCCTTTGGCAAACAGGTGGTGGAGAAGGTGGAGGTCAGTGGATCCTTGTCTATTCTTTCTCTGACTTTCTGAGACCTAAAGTTCTGCTCCAGGGTGAGAACAGTTTTGGTTCTTCTGTATTTTTAACATTTTCTACTCTACGTCTCACAGACAGAATACGGCAGGTTTGAAAACGGACGCTTCGTCTACAGGATCAGCCGTTCTCCCATGTGTGAATACATGATCAACTTCATCCACAAACTCAAGCACCTGCCTGAGAAGTACATGATGAACAGTGTCCTGGAGAACTTCACCATTCTGCTGGTGAGGACGGTCGGGGTGTGTGTGTGTGTGTGTGTGTGTCACATCTGTCACCTGTGTTTGGACCTCCCTCTTCTAACTCTGTGTGTGTGTGTGTGTGTGTGTGTGTGTGTCCATCCAGGTGGTGACCAACAGAGACACTCAGGAAACCTTGCTGTGTATGGCGTGTGTGTTCGAAGTGTCGAACAACGAGCACGGAGCGCAGCATCACATTTATCGACTCGTTAAGGAATAACACACACACACACACACACGCACACGTAAAAAAAAAAATCTACAATCAGGTTTTTCTAGTTGTGGTGGATTAAAAAAACTCCAGTGGAGAATTCGTAGAACTCGACGCAAATCGGTAAAAGAAGCAACGTTTTGAGTTGTTTTACACAAACTCGGAAGAAAAACATCAACATAACAATTTCTCTCCTCTATTAAATCAGTGTGTGTGTGTGTGTGAGTGTGTGTGCGTGTGTGTGTTATCAAGTGCATACTAGAGGTCAGACCCTGTGTGTGATCAACAGGACATAAAAGTTTCAAAGTTCAGAGTCACTTTGAACTGCAATCTTAAGAAAAAAGTAAATCAAGAAAATGAAGAAGAGGAAGAAGAAGAACAACATAAGAAAAATTCACTTTTTACCTTTTGTATTTTTTCTTTAACTAAAAGAAAAGTAACATTAGATTTTAATCCTTGGGAAATTGTTTATAAATAGCAGCATATAAATTGTATTTTAACTCCAGGAACAATTCAAATATATGTTTAATTTTTAATAAATAATAAATAAGTTATAATCATCAAACACAGGCCTGGACAGGCAGCCGTACGTTTCCTGTAAAAAATTTCAAATTAAAAGCATCTCTTTGATTTTCAGCACACTAGTAAAAAGCCCATACGTTCTGACCTGCTGTAGGTTCTAGTTCCTGTGGTGAAACGGTACCTAACGGTTCCTGGTCTGGAGATTACTGAAGAAGAAAATACCAAAAATGTTGAAGTCTACTGTAGCAGGTGTCATTTTCAGCAGCATGAAGTGCCTTTGACTGGAAACGCCTTTTCACTGTGTTCTTTCTTTTACAACTCCCTGACGGTTAGCTGTTAGCTGTTAGCTGCTAGCTGTGGTCAGCAGCAGGTACGACAAAAAAACACAAACAAACAACATGTTATACTATCTATATTTTATATAGAAAAAAAGAACTCATCAGGCCACGTTCAGTACGTCTCATCGACACTAATGTAAATGAGAAGATCATCAGCGAAACAATCGATTCTTTTAAACTGGGTTTGACCTGGATGAGAAGCAACTCAGAGATTTTCTACCTTTGTGCCTCAAATATTCACACCCGTCACCGTGTCAACCTGTCGTGTTCCTACTGTTGGTCTAACAACAAGTGTGAACAGAGATGGTTAAGCAGACGCCCACACCAGCACCAACTTCAAACAACAACCATCTGTCGGCCTTAATCCAACACGTAGTAATAACCCTGTGTCTGGGAACTGACTAGCACCAACGAACCAAAGACAGTCACCACACCAGGCAAAAGAGGAAGTGATTTGTTAGCAGTAACTCAGCAGCTTCTGCCAAATATGTAGACGTTGGTGTGGTTTGCCTTTATTGCCCCCTCTGCCCCACCCCGCCCCGTCCCCAGGTAAACTGCTACAATATTTGGCCCTCAGTTTTAAGTAATGATGACATGAGAACCACCACAAGAAGAAGATGTTGTGAGGACTTGACGGTTTCTCTGTCAATACGGCACATAAATTATGTCACTAAAAAAAAAATCCCAAATATGGCCTTGAATATTTTTCCACTTTAGTGCACGTGCACGTGCAACCTCCCCCCTCACCCTCCTCACCCCCCGTTCAGTGTGTGTGTTTCTGTGTGTGTGTGTGTTGCTGTGCACTGTATGAATGAGGTTTATTCCAGATGTTGTTGTTTACTCGTGATATTCTGATGTTTCATCCAGAAGATTAAAGACGTTTGTAAGACGTGCATCCATTGGTCCACACAGGGCCTGACCTTTTGTGACCTTTCTTTTCTTCCCCCTCATGGCTAAAAGTATGTTAGATATTTTACACTTCTGTAGAGACTTTGTACGTATGATATGCTGTTCAGTTTGAATAAATGCTCAGCTGTGACCTGGACTCTGCCTGCTTTGGTCGGACGTCGCCGACTTTAACATCAGAAATGATTTGTTTGGATTCAGTTAAGAGAAAATCAACTAATAATAACAACGAAACAGCTGCAGTGTGTGTGTGTAAACGGCTGGACATTTGGAGCTGAATTTATTTTATAAATCAAATTAAAAAATGAATTCAGACAATAACATCATATATGACCATAAATAACTAGCGGGTTTATTATTATTATTATTTTCTGGGGCATGGATGACCGTGCAGTTTGTCAGATTTTGGCCAGATGCTGCCATCTACTGGGCTAATAATGATATAACATCAGACTGAAAACATTTTGACCATGATGTTTGATTCTTTTACGTTCTTGCTTTCTTTATTCTCTCTTTCTTGTTTCTTTCTTTCTTTTCTCTGTCTTACTTTTTTCTTTCTTATTTCTTTCTTTTTCTTTCTTTTTCTTATTTTCTTTTTGCTTTTTTTTACTTCTTTTTTTCCCGTCTTTCTTTTTCTTTCTTTTTGCCTTTTTTCTTTCTTTTTTTTATTTCTTTCGTAAACATCTTTTAAACAGATCATTCACATTATGTGTGGTTAGTGATTTCAAGATCTCCAGACCTAAATGCTAGGCTAATGCTACTTTTAGATTAGGGCCACAGCAAAAAAAGACAATAGTTTAACAGCAACAGTTTAGTGAGAAATCTGTGATCAGACCTTCAGAACAGCCATGTCCTCAACATCCCTTCTGTATTTTTTTCTTTCTTTCTTTCTTTCTTCAAAAAAAAAAACAGAAAGAAAGAACAATCAGACTATTCTTGTTATTGTTTGGACAATATTCCTTCACTCTGCCCCACGGACCAGACCCTGGTCTGTGTGAGAACTGAGGACGTGTCAGTGGACATCTGGAGAACGTTACCGTACAGAACAGCACCAACTGTCTTTCTCTTATTCATACCTCATGTAAACAGACTCCAAAAAAGGCGAGGCGGGGGAGTAAAGGAGGGAGGGGCCGGGACACGAACTCAGTTCCATCTCAGAACTCCACTGCTACAAGAAGAGAAGAAAGTTCTGGAGCTAAAATTCAAGACAGCATACAAAAGCAGAAGAGGACCCACGCTGACGCAGCCCACGTGGACTGGTCCACAGCGTATAATAATAATAATTCACAGTTTGTTTTTACAGAACAGTCCGACTCATGTCAGGCCCAGCGGTGGTCGTTCTTTTACTCTCTCTTCTTCTGACTCTGACTGCAGTTCAGGCCCAAGGATCTTCTCAGGACTCCTTCATCATCCAGTACCTGGAGAGGAGGCTGGTGCAGATCGAGGTGGGTCACTGCACACACACACACACACTTGGTCAGTAGTGGTCAGTGAACCCCTGATTTGAACAGGGAGACCAATCTAGTTTAGGTCCAGTTCCTGAAGATGGAACCGCGTTCTGTTTTGCACAGCAGATCTTTAATTTGAGGATTATTTTTTCTTTGCCACTAATCTGTATGCTTGATTGATCAATGAGGAAGAGGAGGAGGAAGAAGGAGGAGGAAAATACACATACGTGCTGTATAAACATCTTCAAACATGAATTGACATGAAAACAGGAGAATAAACCTAGTGGTAGATATCAGTACTGCATCATATTTGTCTGTACACACCCCTCAACAGCCATACTGTAAATGAAAGAGTTGGATCTGGGCTGCACACGTATGTTTGGTCTGATATGTGACCCATGTCATGTGGTGTTTTTGTCCTGTGTCAATCAAACCAGGAGCGTCTGAACCAATGTGAGCAGAACACAATAACCGTCACGCAGAAGACCTATGACCTCTCCTCTGAGGTCAGGGGGTCTCTGTCCTCCCTCACTGCTCTCAGGTAAACTCCCCCATGCACATCCGTACAGACACGCTCTCTGCCCAGGACTTGACCAGTGCTGCGTCCACAGATCGGAGATGAAGAACCAGCTGGACGGTGTGAGCGTACGAGTGGATCGGATGGAGAGAGAGCTGGAGTATCTGGAAAACAAGATTCCCACGCAGGGAGACATTGAGATGGAGGAGGCGCTGCTGGAGCAGCAGATCAAAGATGCTGAGCTGGACTTGTTAAAGACCAAAGCCAAGATCAAAATGGACAGGGGTAAGGAGGCTTCGGTGTCAAAGCTGTAGCACCGTGTGACGGGTGACACATTGGTTTTCAACTCATCTCCAACATCTTCAGACTGCAGCATGGCCCTGAGTCAAATCAAGTCTCTGAAGATTGTGAAGAAAGCTGGAGATGCGTCCGGTTCCTGGTTCAAGGATCCGACGGCCGGATCAGAAAAGGTTCTGTTTTTGTTCCTTATCTGCGCAGTAACATTTCTGTCTTTCTGTCAGTAGTTTACTGTGATGTACGATACGTGTGGATAAACCTCCTGGTCCTGGGCGACTCTTTCAGGTGTACCTGTTGAGTGGATTCTATAACAACACTCTGCTGGAGTACCATTCTCTACACAGCTTCACAGAGAAAAACAGCTCCACCCCAGCAAAGGTGCTGCAGCTGCCGTTCTATTGGCAGGGAACAGGTCATGTGGTTTACAACGGGTTCCTGTACTACCACAAGGCAGACACCCCCAACCAGATACTAAAGGTCAGAGACTCAGGACTGTGTGTTGTTGTAACTATATGTCTATCTATGTCAGGTGGGCCACAATTGGTCCGAATATTGAACAGGGGGGCGGGGTCAGGAACAAAGATAAAGAAAGATAAACAATGTGAAAATGTCATGCATAAAGGCTAAAATGCTGGAATATTGCAGGAAAAAGGCAGAAGTATAATGATAATATGAATAAATTATATAATTTGGAAAAGTTTGCCCATGCCTGATCTATCTGGTCCTGGGACAAACACATGGTCTGTGCAGCATACCGTATCAGCCTGATTTGGTTAGTACAACACATTTAGGGTCAGGGTCAGGGTCAGGGTCAGGGTCAACCAAATGGTTTGTTTAGATGATAGCATTTGCAAACTGCTGCACATTTTAAGATAAAAATAATCTGAAAACCTTGACTAGCATGAACTAATATGAAACTCTGTTGTCTTCCACTATCACACACAGGTGGCGCTGTTGAACACCACAGTGGTGGACAGCACTCTTCTTCCAGGAGCAGGTCGCATTCCAGTCTACAGCCTGAACCCCAACACCTATCTGGACCTGGCTGTGGATGAGCTGGGCCTCTGGGTCATCCACGCCGATGCAGAGTATGAAGGAAAACTGGTCGTTTCCAAACTTGATAAGGGTGAGACTTGACAAACCCGAGCCAGTGTGCTTCTGGTTCTGCTGGTTCTGTTGGGTCAATAATACATGTTGTTTCTACACCTTAGCAAGTCTGGCAGTGGAGTACACCTGGGACACACAGTGTCCAAGCCGTGACGCCGAGGGAGCGTTCCTGATCTGTGGAACACTCTACGTGGTCTACAACACACGCTACGGAGGGCGCTCCACGGTGCAGTGTCTCTATGACATCCACAACACCATCCACAGGTTGGAAGTGATAATATAAATATATATAAATATAAGATATAAAACCAGAGCACAGATGAGTTCCTTCCCACCTGTGGTCTGTCTTTGCAGTGAGGAGAGTCCGGTCCTGTTTTTTCCCAAGCGTTACACCAGCCACAGCAGCATCCACTACCATCCTGGAGACCAGCAGCTGTACGCCTGGGACGACGGCTACCAGACCATATATCACGTAGAGACCATCAGTGACCGGAGAGTTATTTAACAGTAAGGCCTTGACTTTAAAAGTGAGAATTTTTGAAAAGATGTGGGAGAAATAAATCCCTCTTGGAGGTTGGTGGGCCGTACAGATGATTATGTCATGGTCATTGTACCCCCCCCCCTCATCCCTCCCAATTCAATGACAATAATTTACTATTCTACACAACAAAAAAGAGCATTAATGCTAACATGTTTCCTGTTAACTTCAGCCATGGGCAGATGGAGTAGGACAAGATTAGCTTGAGGGCTGTTTTATTTTTATTTGGGTTGCAATTTTATTGTATCTTTTCCTCTTGTGAAAAAGATTTCTTCCCTGTCAGGTTTTATTCAGTTAGGGCTGATTTGACTCTGTTTGACTCTGTTTCCATGTATTTGGTTCTTTTCCAGAAAACAAATAACCATGGAACCTGCGTTAGAACCAAGGACTGGACTGCTTTTGTTTTTTGTTTTGTTTTTATTTTCATGTCATTGTTGAATAAAGTATAAAACTATATTAATACTCCCTATTTTCACTCAAACGTTGGCTTATTGACTCACACTGACCAGTCGTTTGACAGTGACAGTAATGACCGGGCGGTTTCATGGCTCGCTTTGACAAATGAACGCACACAATGCTACACGCTAAACCAATCACAGCCAGAGGAAGGCGGGGCCTCTTCAATCTCCAGGGGCGGGAAATAGTGCAGCGTCAACTGAAGGCGACGAAACTGGAGGAAGAGGCTCGTTTTTTGTTGTCTTTTTTGTCGTTTGTGATTGTAAAAGGATAAGGAGAAGAAACAACAACAGCGCCACCACCAGACGACGCAGTGTAAATCTGCACTTTGATGATTTTGGCTTCGCTGGAGGAGAAACGTCATCATCGATACAGCGAATACAGGTGCGACACAAACATATATATATATATGTCTCAGTAAAGTAACACAACAAAAATGCTTGTATTTTAGAGTCCTCACAAGTCAGTAATACCTGTTTGGCGCAGCTTTAAATGTATGTGACGTCACTTTCAGCTTCAGCAGATTTGTGGCTAACACACAGCATTCCAGAGGAGGGCAGTTATTTATAGTTTTTCTGGACCCAGTTTTTTTGGCTCAGCAGTAAATGCTGCTGACTTTGGCTTCAGAACGCTCTCTGTCTCAGGCCTTTGGAGAAAACAGAAACTCGAACAGTAGAACAGAACCAGTTCATCTCTGGCCTCAAAGTGAGGCCCTGGGAGGGGATGAGAGAAGCAGTGAAGCACTATGGGATGGCACTGTGAGGACCAGAGGGAATAAATTTGAAAATTAAAAGTAATATTTCACTCACAAATCAAATAATAATTTGAGATTTAGAAGTTGTGTTTTTGTCCTGGTGTCAATAAAGTATGGACTCTATTGTTTATTAGTCAACACTCATTATTTTAATAATACTTTTAATAAAGAAGTCACTTTTTAACTGCTCATCTAAACAAAGCTTGGGTTTTTTGATACTACCAGACTTCAGCAGCAGGTGGAGCTGTTTCAACAGTTCCTGAAACACAGGAAGCCAAAGTTGTCACAGCACTTGGTGAGAACTTTTTATTATTCATGAACGTTTCTGCCTCTATCCCTAACATACTTCCTGCAGGTGGCGCTGGGTGTCTCATCAATTCACTTTGTGATGCCCTGGTTCCTCACCTCGCTGCCCTGCTGGGATCCTGTCCTGACTGTGTGGGACTACATTTATCCAGCCTGGTATTTACACACAGACAAAATGTATAAATATGTGTGTAAAGATGTAAAATCTCTACCGTTTGTTTACAACAGAATTAAATATTGAACTGTTATGGGAGACAAAATGTATAAATATGTGTGTAAAGATGTAAAATCTGTACCGTTTGTTTGCAACAGAATGAAATGTTGTACTGTTTTTACACAGCTCCCTCTGCTGGCTAACTTTAGGTAAGCTGCTGCTGTTGTGTGTCTGCAGGCCTGTCTGCTGTGTTTGGCACTGCACTGACCGTCATTGATCTTCTGGAGGCTCAACTGATGGAGCTGAACCATGAAGGATCAGTGTTGACTCTGCTGCTCAGATGGGTAAGTACCAGTGCTTGTTCTTTCAGAAGGAACCCTGAATGGGACTGAGACAGAGGTCAGAGACTTCATTCCTCCATCAGACTGCTGTATGTGGCCTCCTCCTCCTCTTCTTCTTCTTCATGAATATCAATTCTCTCCTCATGTTTTGTCACTGGGTCTGACTGTTTGACTGTCAGCTGGTGTTTGATGGTTCAACAATCGACTTCACTAGTTTCTCATTAGTGTTCAACACGAAGCCTCTGTTTTTGAGATGAAGTTCTGTTGTCATAGTAACTCAGTGTATGTGTGTGCGTGTGTGAAAGTTGTCAAAAATCATCTGTTTCTCAGAGTTTCACTTATTATAATTGTCGCCCCCCTCCACGTTTGTCCGTTTGTTACATTACATTACAATACATTCATAATTTAATAGTAATATAATAATGAATTGAATATTTAGTTTCCGCTCCTGTCATTGGTCGGTTCCTGTGGCTAATACTATAACTCCACAGACTCACCCAGTCTGACTCAGGTTCTTACCCCTCCACCCCCCCCCCTTCACTGATGCCGACAGTCCCAGTCTGTTCTCACGATGCTGTTTGGTGGGAAGTGTGCCATCATCGGCCCACAGTGAGGAGCCCTTGTGGGCTGCTTGGCTCCGACAGCCTGGTCCGTAGTCAGCACTAAGTGGCCCCCACTGTCTCCCAGGGCAGGATCTCCTTACACTGGGAAGACAGTGAACAAGTGAGGGTCACAGCAGAGGGGGAGACATTAATGGAGGGTGGGAGACAAGGTAAGACCTGGGACAGCTGAGGGGGTGAGGTAAGACAGTCCCACATGTCCCACAACTGGGGAGAAAATACTGTGGAGACAAAAGGAGGCGCTGAGGAGTCGAGGTGGTTGTGAAGTCCTGGACACTGGACTGGAGGACAATCATTAAACTATTATTTTTTTCCCTTCCAAACCAAATAAACAGTGCCGACTACAAGGTTCTGGTCCCGACTCTATGGGAGATCCTGGTCCAGGACTGGAAGGACTAGTAGACTCTACAACCACAGAACCAAATCAGGTATGGCAACAAAATCACTGTCACTGGTCAACTTCATCTGTATAAGATAGAACCGTAGAGAACAAGTGATAGAACGGTCACATGACACGGTTGACTGTTGGTTCTCCACTGTTCTCTGATCAGAGACGTCGGCTGATGACTGTACACGTCCCTCTTCTAAGGAGAGGTGCCTGCAACTGTAGCCAGTGACGTGGCTGATGATTGGCTGCTGTGTAAGAACACCTGAGAGTTTAGACCAGAGGGACACAGGGGGCCCAGTGCGGCCCCTCCCTCTCTGAGCCATTCAGATCCTGTTACACACAAACACTGTTCTGTTGTCCTGCGTCTACATGGACTCAGGGAACAGGGGACATGTCTCCATCACACCGCTCCTGTTGACCCCCCCCCACCCCACACCCCTCGCCCTGGACTTCCTTAGATTCAAACTCTTTGAAGAAAACTTTTCCCATTTTACTCTTCACTTGTTAGCCGACTGTTAGCATCGCAGTTTCATGACGACATGATGGCGACGTTGATTCGTTGGTTTTGTTGGCTTACAAGGACAGAGTGGTCAAACTGTTGGTCAACATTTGTGAAGTTTGAAAAGTTTGAACCGTCGTACAACAACATACGATCCTCAAAGTGCGGCTGCTGTGTGTGTGTGTGTGTGTGTGTGTGCGTACATCTTCTTGACAGATCTAAGAGATGTAATCTTTTGAAGGTCGCTCAGATGTCACTACAGCAGGAGCAGGAAAGCCTTCAGCACTGAAGTTTCACAACTTCACCAAAGACACAGGCTGGAATGTGTGTGTGTGTGTCTGTGTGTGTGTGTGAGAGAGATAGTGTTACTCCGACGAGTCAGAGGTTGTTGAAGCTTCAGGGCTGTTTGTCAGTGCAGCTGGGAAGACAAAAAGTGTGTGTCAGTGTGTCTGTGTTTGTGTGTGTGTGTAGTCTGAGTGATGACTCATCCTCATTTGCTGCCCTGTCAGACCGTCTCCCCCTGGAGGCAGCAGGAGAAATGAGCTGATTCACTTTGTCAGACAGTTCCAGCGTTCCTCCGTCCGCCTCTGATCCTTTTCACTCCTGGTCTCAGTCCTCAGGCCTCGGCCACGCAGTCAGGAAGTCTTGATTATGAAACACAGAGAAGGAGGGTTTATGTGTCGATACAGAGGGAAACCAGAGGGCGGCGCTCCGTGTTCTAATAGATGAACTGGTACTAGACTCTGACCAAAAACCAACTGTTTTCATCATTAGTGAGAAAGTGAAGTGAATGTTGTCCAATCAGGACTCGTCAGCAGCCGTAAGGACCAATGAAAATGACCTTTCCTATTTATGGCTTTATTCTTTATTCAGTTTGAATCAGCAATTCATCCAGGTTCCAGGAACCGATTCATCCATTTGACATTGATTCCTATGTGGAAAATTGTTTCAGTTTTCCAATTCTTTGGTTCATGAATGGCCTTCGGGAACGAATCAAGTTGGTCACTGATCATTCAAAGAGGAACACATTAGAACACCTTCAGCCAAGTGTTCTTCACAGAACAGGATGATAATAGAACCGTTCCATCTGCTGCAGTAGTGTTTAGGTGTCTACACAGACCTACGTCAGTTCTAAACCAAGGGTTAGGGTCACACGTGAGTACGTCTGAATATATATACACACATGTGAACCTGAGAGAGACTTTTCCCAGTGCAGAGGAGGAAGTGAAGGGTGTTAGTGTTGGGGGGGATCCACAGGGAGCTGCAGACCTGAGTCAGCAGATTTAAAGTCAGTGTGTGTTATGCTGAGTCAGGCTGGTAGCTGTGCATTCTGTCCTTGTTGTTTTTCATCTGTTCTCCCCTCGTCTTTTATTTATCAAGAATTTGAAACTCTATTTTTTTCACTTCCTAACGACCAGTCAATCCCACTCTCCTGTCAATCGCAAAACATTGTTAATTGAACTGCCCCGTTGTTAACGCCCGCATACAGGCTGAGGTATGGGAGGTGTTCAGAGACGGACGAGTGACGGTTAACCTTTGACCTCTAAAAGCAGTGGACTGTTTGCACTGCTGGAGGACATGAATATTTCCATGAATTTGAACCTAATTATTGAAACTGAGGCTGTTTGTGGTGTGAAGCTGATGCAACTCATACATGATGGGATGTGAACAGAACAAGGTCCATGCTGGGGTCCAGGTCCTGACAGGGGTCCAGGTCCAGGCTGGGGTCCAGGTCCTGACAAGGGTTCAGGTCTAGGCTGGGGTCCTAGAAGAGAAAGATGGGATTGTGTAAGGAATGTGTGTTTAGTTAATCTCAGGTGTCACTCATAGATCAAATTTCAATTATAATTATTTACATTTTTATTATAATTATAATGTTGGGAGTAAGCATTTGATTCAAGTTTAGGTTAAAATTAATTTTACATTTTTTATGATTTATTTTTTCAAACCCAATTTTTCCCTTTTTCCTCCTTTGGTGAAGTAAATCAATGAATCGGTGTGATTTCTAGCCAGCAGAGAAAGATTCATCATCCAGTGCCCAGAAACCGGGACAGGAAGTTGGGTCACAGGCTGAAATAACAGCCTGTGCAGCTCTGGTTGCAGCTCATTGTTCTGTAATGATGGACAGAAATGAGTTCACACTTGGCTGGAGAAATAAAAACTGCTTCTGCTGCTGGTCATTAAACGATGAGTGAGTTAATCCTAAGGTCAAAGTTCAGCGATAGGAGGACATGTTGATTTGTATGTTTTGAGGGTTGATATTCTCCATCACTGTATTGTTTTTTATGGTGTTGGATGGAACAGTAGTGTCTATTTACTATGATGACACCACAGTTAGTGAAATCACATGTATGGCAATATATGGTATTATTGTAGTCCAGTGTCCAGAGTCCAGTGTCCAGAGTCCAGAGATCAGAGTCTCTTAGTGACATTTTTTTACTTGCACTGAAAACAACATCAGAACATGTGACATTCATTTCCAGAGATCTCTTCAGTTTTTAACTGCATTGATTCAGTTGTTTGTGACAAGATTCACATTTGTTTTTCATTTGTTTACAGTGGATCCAGTAGGTCTTCTGTGGGTCAGGTCTGATTGGACACACTTTGTCTGGAACTAGTCCCAGGCAGGGCTCCAGTTCATAGTTACTGCTACTAGGTAGGGCACAGTTGAAAAGGTGCTTCACACCGGAAATAAAACAAGAAGCAACCTTTAAAACATGTGTTAAAAAGATTAGCAGCTAGCTAACAAAACAACTGTGTGGTTGGGCAAGAGGAAGTACGAGTTTGTTTGCCCCGGGGCGGAGTGGGTCTAGACGTTATATGAAGAATGTTGGATCACAGATCTGACGTCAGAGCCCAATCAGTCGCAGCCCGGAGCTATGCTGCCCCCACAGGACAGCGTTGGTTTCACATACACGAAGCACAAGTGACATAAGGCTGGAAACAGCCCTGCACTCCATCACCTGAAACGGAACTCACGGGGGGAGGGAGTTAGAGGTTGGGGGGCAGGGTGGTGTTGGTGGTGTTGGTGGTGGGGCTAAACACTCACTCTGTCATTCATACCTTCTCATTATTTCCTGAGTCACAAAGAAACAGGCTAGCAGTGTATGTGTGTGTGTGTTGGTGTGTGTGTGTTACCTTTACTGTTATGTGTTGGTCTGTAGGTAGAGCTCAAGCAGACCAGAGAGGAGTTAGAGCTACACACACATGTACACACACAGGTACACACACAGGTACACACGCTATACAATCGTAACCTACTGTGCACTCACCTGTACTGGATTGTCTGCGCGCGTGTGTGTGTGTGTGTGTGCTCAGTACAGGTTGTCGTTCGTCTCAAATGTACAGGATGTAACTCAACACCTTGGATTTTATTTCGAGGTCCAGTTCCATCAGAAGTAGAAAAAAAAACTTCTCTGTTTGGATCAGAATGTGTCTCCATGTAAATTATAAACATAGGTTTGTTGTCGATTCATGTCGAGCCAAGGTTTCTCTGAACAGACGTTTCTTTAACAAACAATTACTTTGTATCACTTTTATTTAATCTTGAATGAGAAAAATCCTGAATTAACTCGCACTTACAATTGAAATGTATGACAACTTTGCAGGCGTGTGTGTGTCCAAATGTTGTGTGTGCTCTTCCACATCACTAATTATGGCATTAGGCTGCACACTGCTGTTTTGGCATCAGCACTGTGCAGTGAGATCCCAGGCTCCTGATTGGTAGATTTGTCTGACAGCTGTCAGCACTAATCCAATAAAATCCTGATCTCAGCCAATCCAAAGACCTCCTTCAGAGCCTGCTCAGATGTTATCTGAGCAACACAACCTGTTTCTTTATGAACTACACACCCAGTTTAATTACAAACCCACAAACCCTGGTCTGGCTGCTCTCCACAGTTTGAATGAAAACATCAACAAATTGATCAGTAATTGTTAAATTGTTTTGTCAAATGCTCAGGCTTTTCGTCTGGGTCTGGGTCAGGACTCATCTCCACTAACTGGGGGGATGGGGGGTGATGGTGAAAGACGATCAGGTCGACCTATGGATGAAGACTTAGATCCCTTTTATGCTTCAGTTTAGGTCAGAACCGACGTTTTCTCCATGATGACCCCCCCGCCCCGTACTGAAAATTGAAATTAAGCAAAGGAGTTTAGAGTAAAAAAAAACAACAAGAAACATCAGGCAGTTTGGTGATGAGCAGTTTAATCTTTCTAAAATGAGGATTGTTATATTAACTTTATTATTATTATTATTATTATTATTATTATAAAGAGAAGAGTTTTTTCATTGACTGGAGTCCAGTGTTTCTACACAGACGAGACTTGAACCGCAGACCTGCTGAGACACGTCAGCTGTTTGATGTACACAGAAGAAGAACTTCTCCTTCAGGAAAGTCTGACACTGATGGAGATGAATCACAGACATGGATGGAAGGAAGCCAAGAGTCACAGGTGGAGGACGGGGGGGTGGTGGTCTTAACATCAAAGATAACCTCCACTCAGGACTTTATCAGCAGCTCTTCCTGTTTCTGTTAGAAAATGATATGAAGCCGGGTCACCGTGACCTTTGACCCAACACACCCAAAAACACAACACCACACAAATGACTTGAATGACTGAAGATAAAAACACACATGAACACACACGTGTTCTGCCAGGGCAGTGGTGGCTCGGTGGTTAAGGACTTGTGTCCGGAAGGTCGCAGGTTCGAATCCACCGCCTTCAAGGTTCCTCTGAGGTGCACTGAGCATGGCACCGTCCCCACACGCTGCTCTCCAATGTTTTTTCTGTTAGTAAGATGATTTTAACTTCCATGAGCAAAATCCAGAACGACACTGAAGTGGACGTTAAAGGATTTTTAGCCCAGGAGGGGGCAGCATAACCACCTTCAATTAGGTAGCAAACATATTATAAATGGAAAAAATTATATGCAAATATTCTACTGAGAAAAGTGTTACCAAATGTGCAAAATTGAGAAAATACATCAAATCAGTGTTTCGATCTAAGGGAGCGCCCCCTTGTTGTAAACATGAACGTCAGTGTGTCGTACAAACACTGGACTACAGTGTGTTCACAGCCTGT